AAAAAAAAAAAAAAAAAAAAAAAAAAAAAAAAAAAAGCATTAGTGATGGAAGCAACTGCCATACATAGGTTTGTGAACTAAGTTCGGACAATCGCTACTTTCATCCTCTAAGAGGCTTAATATCCCAGACAGCCCCAAAAATTTCATTCGTCTGAATTCTCGCCAGTCCCACATTATTTATCAAGAGTGGTTATAGAATAGGAACTGCAAGCTATACGTTAGCCATATGGCAAAGGAGTTTGTATTTCATCCCCAGCTGTTAGCAAACAGAACTGGACGTGAGGATGGGAGCGAGAGTCAGCATATATATGCACATGTGACTAATTTGAAGACTGCAGCGAGCAAGCAAGAAAATAAATAGAGGCACGCACCAGAGCAGCCGGTGCGATCATGCGTTTTGTGCAGTGCTGTCCACCGGACGACTGCCAACTAAAGATTTTCAGTCCTCTGCACATTGGTCTGTGCGAAAATAGTTGAAACGTTGTCTGTTTCCTAAGCTGCGGAACTTCCCATCAAAAATTTTACGCCCCGGTACGTGGAAACTGAATTTGAAATCTTAAAGGGTGTTTGAGTGATTTTTGCGACAAGACTTTTACGTGTTCGTACGTGAGAGTTCAGCATATTTAGGAACTAAATTCGAGTTTATGAAGCTCCTACTTAAGCAGGCAACGTCCTTTGGAATTTTTAGCCTCCTAGCTCTTCTGGCTCCAGAGACAATGATTTTTCCCTCTAAGTCTTTCGCGGGGATGTGTGTGGGCAGGAGATGCCACGCCAAAATTTCGGCTTTCTAGTTTATGCAGTTCACGAGATAATAATTTCCCTACCAAAAATTTCACGAAGTCGTACGTGGTACCCAGAGGTGCGTGAAGGCTGAGTCCAAATTTGCGGGGTCGTACGTTGGCAGAGGGCATCATCCTAAAATTTCAGATTCCCAACTTCTGCGGTTCCCGAGATAATAATTTTCCCCGTCGAAACTTTTACGGGGCCGTATGACTCGAGTATGCGAGAAGGCTAAATTTAAATTTGCGGAATTATACGTGGATGAGGAACAATGCCCCTAATTTTCAGCTTTCTGGCTTTTGTGGTCCTGGTGATAATAATTTTACCCGCCAAAACTTTTACGGGGCCGTACATGCTACCCGCGAGGACGAGAAGATTGAAATTAAGTTTCCTAGGCTGCGTGTGGGCAGAAGACATACTCACAAAATTTCAGCGCACTAAATTCCGTGGTTCCCAAGATAATGATTTCACCCGTCAAAAATTTTATGGGGCCGCACATGTTACCCGCGGATACGGGAGGGCTGAATTTAAATTTGCTGGGTCACACGTTGGCAGGGAACACTCTACTAAAAATTCAGCCGCCTAGCTTTTGTGGCTCCCAAGTTGAAGGTGCGGGATAAAATCTGAAACGCACACGTAGACAACCCTGAGACAATATGCGTCTTGTATTGCTGCTACACAGCACAAAACGCATAAAAACTAAGGTTTTGCAAGATTTTGTTTTAAAAGTAATTTCTGAATTTGCAAAAATTCTGTTTCATATATCTTATATTTACAATCGCTAAAACATTTCTCACCACATTTGAAAGAGTTTCGTTAAACTTCTTACGTCATCGTGATTTGATTCCGTTGTATGATTACCAATGGGTTTAGGGACGTGATAACTTCATCAAACTACTTCGATTCTTACGGTAATTTCTGTTTCTGCATTTTGGAGGACTGTATTACCAGCTCCACTTACCAAATTTTGCTCGGTTTTTTCAAACTTTTAATCTTACGCACTATCTTTCAAAATCCTAAAATTGGAATTTTTGCCGCTGACTCTAACTGCTGCCCTTCAGAATGCTTATTTGTAGTGTCTAAGTCAGCTGCCTGCGTTTTGTTTCCACCTTGTTATGCATCGAAAAAAATTTTTATTCTACCACTTTTTCCTTATTTCATTTCGGACGTCAAATTATTTTACTCACTTGCAAATCGGCAAATTTCTGTTGATGTTCCGTTCGGGCTGCATGTCTCCATCGAAAGTTTTTACTTCAGTGGCAGTTGGTTTCAACTTTGCTTTCCCAAGTACCACACGAGAGTCCGATAGCGTTGATCCGGCACTGGTCTTTCGATTTGACGTCGATGGTTGACTGACTACTGGAGCTCCCAGTTTTTGACCAACCAGAAAATATTTATATTTGAGCGACTGAAATAATTTTCAATCGCTGAATTATCCATTACAATGTTCAAAACAAAAGAGACTTTTGATTTCTGAATGAGTCAAAATCTGAAGTTGTGTTAATTGCTTCAGAGAACGAAAATAGCTGTTGTTAGGCAGAAGCACTCACACTGAGTGCGTTTGGCCGTTTTTCAGGATTCCACTGCATCATATCGGCCATCAGCTTTTGACCCTCATCGCTCACGGAGTTTACGACAGTCGCAAGCGGTGTCGGCACAGTTTGTTGGAACTTAAAATTCATTGCGGCAGCTAACTGATAACCTTCCGGCCAATCCTCCTGCAAAGATTTAAATCCACAAAATGCTGATCACAAGTTTTGAGGCCAACACCTGGTTCAAACAGCCCTTTTGTCAAGTACATTACGCTTACCACGTCCTGTTGGAATCCACTTGCTGAGAAGGCGAGGGGAGCGATTTTTGCTGCTTTTCAATATTCAAAGGACCTGATTCTCTTTCTCACTAGCTGGACACATCACCATACTGAGCATCAAAAGTTTCAAATAAGATGTACTTCTTCAATTCAACTTTTCCCGAACAGCTTCCAAGTACTCACAACGTTACTCATCAATTTTTTCACGCGCTTACTATGGCTATGAATATATTTGGATGTCTGGTACGAATCGCAGCAGTTCCACACCAGACTTCTTTAATGTGTGCATTATTTATAGAGGAATTCAAAATCACTTAGCAAATTGCAACAGTTTTTTCCGAAAAACGTGGAAAAAATGAAATGTACCTTATTGGGTGTCCCCAGAATAGTAATTATTTTGAATAACTGATCTAGTTCGGAAGTCCCAGGAAATAGTGGCCTCAGCATATACAGTTCTGCCATTATGCAGCCAAGAGCCCAAATGTCAATTGGTGAGTTGTAGGAGGTAGAACGAAGAAGAATTTCTGGCGCTCGATACCTGTAAAATGATACTTAACAAAACAGTTTGGGATGGCTTAGCATCAACTCTGTCTCTGTAGCTTTTTAGGCTGTGTCAAAGACGGAACCCTTTTTTGCAAATGATTATGAACAGGGAGGGAAACGAATCACTCATTTTCACTATTTCCAGTTCTCTCGAATCGTATTGTGTTATCCATTACATAAATGATCCTCTTCACAAGAGCACTTATATGTGCACGAGTACTATTAGCCTACGTACTACTTTGCGCTGTCCTGGGGCTGCCATAATATTCAGTACACCATCAATTCCTATCAGCCTTTCGCGGGATTTCGCGACAAGGAAATGAAGCGTAAAAAATTCATCACTTGTCAGCTCTCGCTCCACTGCCTATGCAGTTACCTCTAGCAAATGATCAAAGTCGCCTCTATCTCAAAATTTCTCCAACAGTTCCGAAAAGAGGAGCAAAAGTAAAAAAAGAATTATACCAGCGAGTGGAAACGTAATCCGTATATGGCGGCCGAGAGCGAATTTCACGCGCTAAACCAAAATCAGCAATTTTGACAAGTTCAGTTCCGTTACACATAATGTTTTCCGGCTTCATATCGCGATGAAAGAAACCTGTAGTACCTACTTCAAAGTACTCATGCTTCTTACTGCAACTCAGTTTTATTTCATATCAGATTTTATCGCAAGAAAAGACAATCATTTTCCCCAGACTAAATTTTTTACAAGTTTTTCGTCGCAGCTTTCCTGTCTATGGAAATAATTCAGATTTTTATCATCAGGTGAAAACTTATAGGATATTCGGTGTATCTCTTTGCTACGCATGACAACTAGATTTTGTCAGAACAGCAGCGTCCAGAATAACATCACAATAAAGCGAGAAAGTAAAGTACAATAGGCAGGAGCAGGGTATGTTGATGGCCTTACCGAGAACGGCCGATGTTGCGAATTAGCGAGTGGTACCGCAAGAAAGAAGGCTGCTCGGGCGGTGGTTCGAAAATACTAAATTGAAGCATGTAAGGCAGAATTTGAAGGACCTGACACAGTTGCAGTCGACGTACGGAAGCATTCTAGTAACATCATTAACATGAGATATCTAATACTTATGCCCAGGTGGCTATGGTATTCTTAGTGAGAAAGGTAACTGAATATGAGTTGTTTTTGAGAAAGAATAATCCAACTTCCAAAAAGTTGGAATTTCTCCAAATTTCACTACACATGAAACACACAGACAATCGGAAGCAGCACAAAGTGGCATCACGATGTTAAAAACAATCACTCTTTGATAGGGTTGCCGGCGACTACTTCCAAGAAATGCTCAAAAACAAGGGTGTGTCAAAGAGATGTTGTGTTTCAGTGTTCTTCGAAAAATCTTAAACACCTTTGTGTCTTAAGAATAGAGCTAACCATTTTTGTGCATATACGCCAATCCTTGCAAAACTTGATAAATTATATTACGTATAATATGTTCCGGAAAATAGCGATCCCTGGAAAATCGCTTTCTTGATTTTGTTTCGCTCATTCACATCATAACGTATCAATTGCCGCTTCTACCCTCACGCATTCAGCATTCATTAAGAATCGTAGAATCTGTTCTTTTCACCTCATATTCTTATTGTCTGTAAGAAACCCAGGCTGGAATGCATTAGACTTGCCGGTGCGATCATGCGTTTTTGCACCGGACTTGAAGTACTCAGGCCGTTAAATGCATAAATGGTTGTTGCTTTATAACTGTCTCTTACGCTCACTAGCACAAATCATCGTGAATCTTGCATAAAGGAAATGACCAATTTCTGTTTAACGGTAGTTCTTTGAAAATTAGCTAGCTGTTCAGTGGGCAGTTCTCCCGCCAAAACTTTTAGGTTCCCATACGTGAGAAGCACGCATATCCCGAGGCTGAATTTGAAATATTTAAGTTGCACTTGGACAGGGAACGTTACCCTAAAATTCCAGCTTTCCAGCTTTTCTGATTCCTGGTTTGTTAATTTTCTCACCAAAAATTTCGCATGCCTGTAAATGAGTACCACGGGTACCGGAGGGCTGACTTTGAGATTTTTAAGTTGTACGTGGACGGAGGATATACTCTTAAAATTTTAGCTTTCCAGCTTTTCTGACTGTCGAGTTAGCATTTTTTCCGGCAAAACTTTCGCGCTCCCATGAGTGAGAACCACGCACACCTAGGGGCTGAACTTGAAATCTTTAGCTCAAACTTGCACGGAGAATATCACTGCTAAGTTTCAGCTCTCTGTCCATTCTGGTTCCCGAGATCACTTTGCCGCCAAAAAACTCGCTTATTTTTTGAAGGCATCCGTATGTGGCGTCCAGGCGTATGAGGGTAAGTATATCAAAACGACAGAGTCGTGCACAGTTTAGGCAAATACTCTTGAAGTTTCAGCCTTTTAGCTTTTCTGGTTCTCGACTTGAAGATGGGTGCAAAAAGTGCGAACACACACAGGTAGTCTCTTGGCAATAAGCTTTTTCGTATTTACGTATGTGCAAGAACGCATAAAAACTGCTTTGGGAGCATATCCGCACCTTCATTAATATGTGAACCTCATGTCGAATGTTTGTGTTGTTTTGGTAATCGTAGTAAAAAAAGGGATGAAATAAACTTAAATCTGAAGTTCTAATTATTAGCTTCGCTACCTTTTAAGCGAAAAGGTTGAACTCTACTTAGTGCTATTAGTTTTCATTTTTCAATCTTTTTAGCAGCGTTAACAAAAGAATCTTTTTATTAAATCTGATCTTTTTTAACAGTTTTAGTGAAGATCTTTGCACTAAATTTTTTCAGCCCAAATATTCTGTGCTAAAACTGCTAAGAAAAGTCAAATAAAAGAAAGATAACATGGATTTTTTCAAAAAATTTCAATGTGAAAAGAATTTTTTGTGCTGCTGCAGAAATGTGCTGCCTCAAAATTAAAATTTCGGAGAGAATCGGAAATGGGACTTTTGAAACACTTGTTGTCTTAATTCATCCTCAGTAAGAACACGCTTTGAAATCATAGCCATAACAATCGGCCAGACTGCAGTACGCTAGCTGCCTGCATCATCAGGATACAAGCAAACAATTTTACCTATCCTTCATTAGTTCATACAGATTTTCCTGCATATATTCGAATACG